GCTGCCGCCCCGCGCAGGTACCATCGCACCCCAGAGCTCCTCTGGGGCACCCCACATCCAGCATCACCCCGCCCACCCACCGGCCCTCTGTCTGCACCCACGCACCTGGGGGTCCCCGGGGGCACGCGGGGCCGGCCACGCACCCACCACCCGTGGAGAGGGCACCCTCGCCCTGTGGCACACGCAGGGGACCTCCCTGCCTGCCCTCCCCCTGACTGGCAGCTGCAGCCAGGTAGGGGCATCCCCCGGTCCCCCGGGATGGGGTGCGGGCAGGGGTGCCCCGCATGCGTGGCATTGTCCCGCGCGAGGGAACAACCTGTGCTCGTCGGGATTCCTAGAAACGGGGGTAGCCTTTCTCTGAATCTCAACAGAGAAAATCAATCACTGCAAAAATGCTTCGGTCAGTGCCAAGAAGAAATCTTAAGGATTTGCTGTTTGTTGGAAAGTGCTGCCAAAAAAGAAATGTTTTCAGGCCTGCTCAGGCAGTAGAGAAGCTGATTCCTGGTGTAGGGTCTGGGCCAAGCGCAAGCAGAGTTGATAGGAATTTTATTGCCTGTAATCGATGAGCTCTGTGCAGCACCGTGGGGTGGCTTCCCCCGTGCTGGTGTTCATAGCACACCTGCAAAAAGCTTCCACTGCAAGTGAGCAGCTCCCCTGGGCATCAGGAGTGAACGGCACAGTGCTGAAATGCCCTTTAAACACCTGTGTGTAATTCTGTCATCTTAGGAATAACTCTTTTTAATCAAACTTTCCCATAAAACATTGGCATCCCAGTGTTCCCCGCGCTGCGTGCGGCCCTGCGCAGCGTGCCGGCGATGCCGAACCTGTGAACCCAATGGGAAATGTGGCTCCCCGAGCGATGGAAGGCCCGTTCTCTTTGCTTTGCAGTTCTTGGTGTGTAAGGCAAAGCCCAGTGCAACGTGAAGACAGTGGCGGGGAGGGGCCCAACGTGCTGTGCCGCGCCGCGCCAGGCCGTGCCATGCTGTGCCGTGCCGTACCTTGCTGTGCCATGCTGTGCCAAGCCATGCCGTGCTGTGCCTACGCCCAACCGCTGGGCCCGTGTTTGCAGAGGTTTAGGCAGCTGAAAAAAATGGCAGCTCATTCCCCGACATGAAACACCGTCCTTTGCCTTCACGGGGAACCTGACGCATCTTCAAAACAGTCAAACGACCAAACTCCGTGGTGAGTCATGATGTGTTAGCCGTGAGTCACCGCAGTATTAAAATAACTCTTGCACCATAACTCTCCCCCTGGACAAACACCGCTGCTCACTTCGGTGCAGTTGGTGGTGCTGGGTTTGACCGAAAGCGAGCCGTTTGCTGCACTTGCGGAGCGGCGCTCCCGTCCCAGCCTGTCCCCGCGTGGAGCAGCAAACGGGGACATTCTTACACCCTCCTCCCCAACCACCATGGTTTATGTTTGCAGCATCTTGGTCGTTTGCCATGGGAATGCGGATGATGTGACACGTAAATCAAACACTGGATCAAGTTCACCACAGGTGTAAGCAGGGATAACCTTACTGAAAACCCTCCAGCACAGAGAGGGCACCCCAAACCCAGCACCTGCCAATGGAAGGAGCACAGTAACCTTGCCCTGGAACAAAAGTCCCAAAAAAGAAAAAAAAGGAATTTGAGATGCATCTTCTATTTCCTAACACGAGAAGCCATGCAATCGCGTTTAATTCTGGTTTCTTTGCGGGTCCTCCTGCCACACCATCCCCATCGAGCCTGGCCTCAGCTCCCGCTGCGGTGAGCTACTGGGTGCTGCCCTCCTCCTCCTCTTCCTCCTTCTCTTCCTCCTCCTCCTCTTTTTCCTCCTCCTCCTCCTCTGCACACCCGCCCGGCTTTTCCCGCACACCCTTGGGGAGTCCGGGGAGCA